ATTAGAAATATCTCCAAAACTGGTTCTGAGGGAGACCATATTCCTCTTTCAAATTATTAAATGAGTTCAATATTCCTCCAGAATACAGATCCCCAATCACTATAATTCCTCTTTCATATCTTGTAGCTTGATTACCAACCTGCAATTTACAGTTTTACCAAAGAGAGGCAGAAGTTTGTAAATAGGGATTAAATTTAAATAAAATGCCTATTCATGCATATATTGTAATCTTTTATCTTGCATCATACAAGGTAAAGTTGTTTAAATGTCCTTTTAAAGAAAAGTATGGTCAAGCCATGCAGGTTAGATGCTATGGCATAAATACAAATCCATTAAATGGAGATACTTGAAATCAGTGCAGTTTAACTGTATGCCTCTTCCTGCACTAAGAGGCATACAGTTGTGTTTACAGCACACTCAAAGCCCCCCCCTTCCCATTTAAAAGAGCAAAACTTTTTGTGATATCAATTAGTTCAATCACATCTGTGAGTGGATTTGGCTGTGAGGTCAAAGTAAATCTAAACAAATGTTTTACCTTTAATCATTATATGTGCACAGATCATTTGGTTGTATTGTACCGTGCATGGTTGAGCTTACTGACTATTTAATTAGCCAGCCACTTTATAAAGCAATAATTTGCATGTGAAATCTCTTTGCTTCCAGTCTGTTATCTGTTACTTGTTAATGATTATCTTGTTTACAGCTTCTTATAATCACTGTTACAATATAAGCAGACAGGTGACAAACTAAAAAAACAAAACAAAACTTGAATATAGTGTGTCTCAGTAAGGTGCTGGGCCACCAGAGCAGCTTCAGTACACCTTGACTCTCCAGACCTTTGGAGGGATAAACATCATTCAGCCAAAAGATATTTGCTTATGCTAACACGTCACTCCAGAATCTCCCATAGATGTTCGGTTGGGTTGAGATCTGCTGCCTGTGAAGGGCACAGCATATGATTCAACATCATTTTCATACTCATCAAACCATTCAGTGACCCCTTGTGCCCCATGTGTGGGGCACTGCCGTTTGTCACCCGTCTGTAGATAGTGATGACATTTTATGGTTGACCTTTACTGGATATTTGATTGTCTTTGTGATATTTTTGTCAAATGATAATTTCTATGAAGCAGGAGTTGACATGGGAATTCACCACAGTCTACTTGTCTGGTCAGTGGAGGGATAATGTCTCCAGACATTATTGTATCTCTAGGTGGAAACCAAAGCAAACAAAAGATGCAGCAGCTAACCAACACATACACTCACTGAGGCATTATGTCAGATGGACATGAATGCATTCACTCCCTTTTCGTCAGCTGCAATGCAAATCTAATCCAAGAGCGATTATGTTCACATGTAGCTGTTGCTGAATTATGTGGGTGTGGGGCTAATGTAACGTTTTGTTCAATGAAATAAAGCCATTTCAGAAGACACTAATACACAGAAAGATGGATACACAGAGACACACACTGGACAGGCTCTCTGGTTCACTCCATATATTCAGTTACTTTGGTTGTTCATTTGTTTCCTGTATGTGGCACACAAAGTGAATCAGAATAAAGAAAAACTAAAAAAAAACAACAAAAAAAAACAAAGCCTATTTGTTTGACAGCCGCCTTCCTCCCCACATATGAAGTCATTCCCCTACATGTGGCATTAAAGAGGAAGATCTATCTAAACTGAGGTCATGAGAAGGGTAGTTTGATTGAATGCCATAATTCCCACACCCAAAAATGAAGTCATGTGGTGGGATTCAGTGAGGAAGAGGTCTGCTATGATTTCAATCTGTATATACAGACGGTGGTCCTGTCTGGCCCCTCTGGCCAGTTGTCATGAATCATAGTAGAAATGTGGGCTGACTGAAGTAGGTGCCCTTCCCACATTTATATAATGTGATCAGATTTCATTAATGCAAGATGGGTGATAAAATGTTTCTATGAAAATTCAATTCTGTTGCAAAGAAGCTTCAGTGTAAATCTTTACCAAAGGCAGCAGTATGATGTCATAATGTCATAAACCAGTCTTGTCAACTAATTGTGTGACCCACAGCACCTTTGCCCTCTGTTTGTCTGTGAGAACACACACACATACTTGTACTTTTGTCTTTGTGAGGACACTCATTGACATGATGCATTCGCTAGCCCCTTATCCTAACCATAGCCATAAGAACTAAATGCCCAACACCTAACCTAAAACAAATCTTCACCCTCAAAAAGGTGTTTCAGAAACTGGGGACCAGCTAAAATGTCCTCAGTCTGTAGCCAAAAAATGTTTTTTTTGGTCCTCACTATATAGCGAGTACAAGAAAACACACACACTCTTATACAGTACCTTAATTTTTCACACAGGTCTCTCAGCACTGCCTTGTTGCGTCACATGCTCCCTTCAGTAAAGTAATGACTGAGGTCCCTTGAAACAATCATATCTGTCATCAAACACTCCTGCAACATTAACAACCCTCTGTTCACCTCTTCTGCTCAGACATCACCTCAGCTCTTTCGGGTTGTCTTCAGTTTTGGGGGCGCTGATAGATGCTAATGAGCAGAGATTAGACCAGGCCGAGAATACAGTGAACATGGCGTTCCTGACCTGAAGCCATCAAGAGGCTACAGAGAAGTTTAGTAAAAGGGATGAAGATTTCAGTAAAATGCTGAAGAAAAGTCTTGAAGTGACCAGACATGGGTAGATCTTTATAGCAGTATTTAGGTTTGTGGCTACATAGTGTAATGTTTTAGAGGATATTCTGAGAAATTATGCTTAATGCTTTGCAGCGAGTTAGATAAGAAAACTGTTCTATTTCTGTACAGTAAATGTACAGCTGAAGTCAGCAGCCATCTTAGCTAGCTTAGCTTAGCATAAAGATTGGAAGCATTGGGAAACGCTTACCCTTTGTAAAATGACAAAGAGCATTTTTATGTGAGAGATTCAATTTGATTTAAAAAGTTCAAATGTGATCTAACATATTGATTCAGGAGTTGTATACATTCTGGTTGAAAGATTTTTGCTGGATAGAGCCAGCTAACTCTCAGTAAGAAAGTGAATAAGTCTCCTAATATGTTGAAGTGCTATCAGCAGAAAAACCTCCAAGTGCTATAAAAAGCCCCAGGTTACTGATTGTTCTCCCTGAGACACAACTAACAGGACAGCACACAGAAAATGCTAGCTGTGTTTTCTGTCTGTTTCACAGTTGTGCTCATATACCACTGTAGTGCCACAAAACACCAAATGTCTTATAGTAAATTGTCCTAAGAATGCCAGCAAATCTCACAGTACCACAAAAATACCACAACATATGTATCACAGGAGCACAGTGGTTACCACAGGAATTCCAATGCCGAAGTACCACAGCTTCTTTTATGTGGTGCTGTACCATGGAATTTTTCTAAAGGTTGACAGACAAGTATGTTTAATTAGGGGTTGGATTGTCCACCTCTAAATACAGTAATAGTGTCTCCTCTAAATTCCCTTAAATAAGAGCTGTTCATCCAAAGATTCTTTGTTTCATATTTATGATATTATAGCCATTCAAGCCCCATGAGTTCCTGTGAGTTATTTAGTTTAGTGTCACTATAGCACTGAAATCTGTTCTGTCAGATAGATTGCAATCACAAGATCATTTGCTAAGATAACATGCCAAGCAATATAAATAATAATATGAAAACATTAACCACATTTACTGTAACATAATAGTCATACTCACAACTACTCTTGCATTTGAGGAAGATGACAAGAATATAATTTATTTGACAAGTTTTACAGTTATTTGTGTTCAGTGGAATATTGATATAGTAAATATCAAGTTATTCGAATGGCTACATCTGGTTTCACTTTTTGTGCTGTTAATTCTCTTGAACTTTACATCATCAATAACACATCCAGTAAAACACGAGAACATTACATTGACTCAGCTCTGAATTATCACTCTAACATGAGTTCCTGCTG